CTCACTTTCTCTCACCCCCCCCCTCTCTCTCTCTCTCTCTCTCTCTCTCTCTCTCTCTCTCTCTCTCTCCCTCTCCCTCTCCCTCTCTCTCTCTCTCTTGAGTTCTTTCTCCATTTGCCCTCTCCACCTATCTATTCCCCCACCCTTTTACTCCCCCCTTCCTTCTATATCTCCCGCTTTCTGTGTCTCTCTTTTTTCTCTTTCTCTATTTCCCCTTTTATCTTACTTTTATTTTCGTTGTCCCTGTCAAATCCACCCCCACCCCTTTTCTCTTCTTTTTGTTATCTTTCTGTGTGTCTCCCATTTCTCCCCCTCATCCAAATGCTCTTTCTCATGTATTGCCTTCTCCACAATTCCAGACTTTTATTGTGTTGAAATTGATTACTTCGAATTGAGAAAGCGACAACAACTTGTCTTCTCCTCTAGTTGTACAAATACGTGTAGTTTTTCTGGGCATGTCTAGAATGTTATTTAAGCCAGAAACACTAAATACGTTCCCTTATTTAATTAATCTTTTTCAGTGAAACGCAGTTATAACAAACTTAAAATCGAAGAGGGTAGTGTTTGTTCGGCTATGTGTGCAATGTTTTAGAATTAAGTTGTAAAAAAAAAGAAAAGAAAAGAAAAGAAAAGTCTCACGCCATTTCAACACAGTAATGATAATATGGTCATGTAAGTACCAAAGATTATAGGCGTTACAACAAGAGAGTAACACACAAAAACGAGAAGGAAAGTTAAGGACGACAGAACAGATGTTTGATAGAAGAAAAAAACCCACTTCAGAGGCCCTCCAAACACCCAAACGTGCACTGTACTACTTACTCTGTAACCGTTCCTCAGTGAACGCAAACTTGCAAACATTAGTGTTGGCATGTTGTCAAAACGTACATCTGTAACCCATGGAATCGGTGGCAATCATTGACGTTTGATTGCTCATGATCAACAAACACCAACAGCTGAAAGCAGAGGCGAGATCTTAGCACAGATGTCATCGATCGTGATATGCCCTAGAGTAATTGTTGAATGTCAACAATCATTGTGGCCAAAATCTGTGGTGGAGGGCTTTGAGACTTTGCTGTCTCACGTAGAGCATCCAAGTTCAATTCCTGAGTTTGGATAAATTGTGTTTAGTATCTCGGTATTTTTTTTGGTAGGTTGCATCCCTCTCCTCAGCCCGGGTTGGTCCTGAGGGGAATGGCACAAACACGCCTCCAGAATAATCTAATTTGTGTCCAAGGGGGCATGAAACGCCTACTTTGGGAATATATACACACAAAAAAGCAATCATTGACATTTGATTGCTCATAGTCAACAAATACGAACATCTGAAAGCAGAGGCGAGATCTACGCACAGATGTCATTGATCATAATAGGCCCGGGAGTTGGTGGATGTCAACAATCATTGTGACTGGCTCTTGTGGTGTAGAGCTTAGGCGATTAGCCGTCGCACACAGAGGACCCGCAGTTCTATTGTCGTATGAAAAACACTTTTTATCGAGTATTTCCCTCTCTTTACCAGGACATTATGTACCCTACAGTCTGGCTTTGCTCAGATAGGCAAGTTCAAAGTCCACCTTGTAAATGGTCGGTTTTAAAGACAAGCGGGCTAACCTAGATTTCGGGGGTTTCCAGAAATTTTGACCCACACCAAAAGTGGGCATTGCCCTACCTATAGGAGAAGTTTGGTTTCATTGGTGTGTATATTTGTTTGACTAAAGATGAAAACTGTCCATGTCTTTTAAAGAAACAGAACAAGGAGCAAGAATTTTACTCTCGATTTTCTCAAAACAGCATTTTTCGGGATAGCTCCCTTGTGTTTAAAAGCGACCAAATGATGTATTTATTTGTGTCCATGGGGACGTGAATCGCCTACATTAGAGGAAAGAAAAAAACAAAACAAAAAGAACAAAAACATTGATAGACGGAGTATCTTTCCCTGGTAAAATAATATGATTTATTTGTCTGTACGTTTCAGGGAATTTTGCAAAAGAATTGCCTTCTGGTTTACCAAACCCCCCTTCTTTTACCCGTTCCTCTCTCTTCCACTCATCTGTCGCCCCCTTCCCCCTCTCCTTCTTCCCCACCCCTACATAACTACGATTGGCGCCTAGGAATGATCGTTCGGCCTATCAGCCATGTGTAGCTGGTTTCAGCTCAGGTTCTTGTCGAATCTGTTTTCGTCAACACAGCTTTGCAAAAATTCTGTGGACGTATTTACAAAGCCAAATCGAAACCTAAGCAAATCGTTTATAATTTTTGCTGGCTTGCTCTTTGGGAATCATAGATGAATTCAGAGAACATTTTAAACCTGGAAATGAAAAATAAACAAATCGTGAATGTTACACTGTTGAGAGAAGAAACAGAGCAAAAGAGAGCGATGCAGGGGTATTGTATGATTGTAAGTTGAAGGTGAGACCGCATGAATGATGATGGTGATGATGATGAAGTGGATGTTTTGATGATGATAACAAAATAACAATTAAACAAAATTCTAGTGCGCATATCCGGGGTCCCTTTTGGGGGCACAATGGGTTTGCGATAAGCGTTGTTGTAATACAGACAAGAGGGTTACGATAGAAGACTTGTGAAGTTCGAAGGCATGTGTGTGTGCTTGTGGGGGTGGGGGTGGGGGGGTGGGGGGTTATAATAATATATTACTTCTACTCGTATTCTCCGAAAAAACAGAAATGGGGGTATTTCGCAACACACTTCCACCCTACCGCTACATCTGTAGCATCACTTGGCACGGGCACAGCTCAATAATATTCTCTCACGATATTATGTGTCGACAATGTTCAAGTCTTTCACGCACAGAGCAACGTCAGGCATGCGGGAAAAATCAAGCCTTCCAGTTAGGTAGAAGCTGTTCTGACAGTTTACAGGTTTGCGTGTAGGTTTGTCTGGCTTTGATTCTCATGTTTTTTCTCTCTTTTTTCCCTTCTTCTTTTCCACAGAGCGGAAATTGTATTGGGGAAAATCCTGAAGAAGAAACAATGGAGGTAAGAATTTCTCTGGTTGACGACCATATGTGAGGCATCATGGTAAAATCAGGCCCTCGTCAAAATAATGACTTCAAAGATATCAACATTTTTATGTCTGTTGGGCAATTTTTAAAAATTAAAAATTGTCTTTCTTTTTTTTGTTTTGGCCAAATACCTTATATATCCATTTAAAACACATTTGTGTGTGGATTTTTACTGAAAAATGATGATATTATATGAAACAAATTATGTACATTTGCAGTTTCAAAGAACCATCAAGCTTTGGAAAAACTTAACTTTGGTCACCATTTCTTAGCTAATTTTACCTCTTAAACTAGGCGACCCACCTCCTTCTATTGCAAATATTTCGATTTCTACTGAAAAGAGATGGGTAATTTCTTAATTGAAAGCAAGACAAGTAAACATGTTTTAAGATTAGACCAATAACTCCACATACCCAAAAACTGACCAGGCCTTAGACATATAGTTATATTCAGATCGTAATTGACAGACTGTAGACGCTACAGTTTTCAGAGGTTGTTTTGTTTTGTTTGTTTGTATGATGTTGTTTGCTTTTTGGGTTTTTTTTCTACTGACGAAACAGTTGAAGTGTTATGAGACAGTATAGGTTGTATAAAAGTCTGAAAGTGAAATATCAGTTTTGCGTTCAACACTGCGACAAAGACCCCCTTTTCAACAAGCACATACACACACACACACACACACACACACACAC